GCTAGCGCTCTACCACTTGAGCCACAGCGCCACTTCCGGCTTTTTTCTTTTTGCTTATGTGGTGCTGAGGAATCGAACCCAGGGCCTCATGAGGCATGCAAGGCAAGCGCTCTACCACTGAGCCACCTTCCCAGCCCTTGCTTTGTCATTTTCTGAGTTACAAAATTTACCCATATTTCATTTTCCTTATCTATAAACTAGGTTTATTTATAGTATCTACTGAATAGAGTTGTTATAAAGAATAAATGAACTAATACATTTAAAGTGCTTGATGCTCTGCCTAGAATCTGTATTAAAAGTAATAAACTTTAACTACTATTAGAAACAGTAATACTATGTTACTAAATCCTATCTTTATGAATATATATTCTCACATATGTATTCGTATATGATAAAATCTCATCTGAAATAATAGGACGTTGAATTATAACTTAAAAGTCTCCAGTGATGGTTCTAAAATCAGTCAATGTGCAGGTATGTATCAGGGAATGGAAAGAGTGAGAGGAAATCCTTAACTTACTACACTAACAGGTTAAAGTTTAGAAGTATAATTTTGCATTGTATTATGTAATGACAGAGCCATTGAGTTTAATTAGTTTCTCCAATGGGTCTGGAGGAAAACATATTTTTAAACCACTACAATACAGTAAAAATATGTTATTGTTATTAAAAAGTAGGACAATTATAAATTCAAATACATTCTTGCTTAAATTAAAAAGAACACATAAAGGTAAGATTTTCTTAAGATCAAATTAAAATTTAAAATGTACACACTGATTTCCATTTTAAAAGTTTTGAGCTTTGATTACCACTACTGGTTAAATTTTTGTTATGTGTTAAAATATATTTTTAGATATTTGTCATATATATTACTATGCAGATATTTTGTATGTCAATTTTAAACCTTGTAATATTGAAAGCTAGATACAAACTCCATTTTTACAGGTGAGTAAATGAAGTTCAGAGGTTATGTGACTTGTAGAGGTTTGTGGAGCTACTAAATAACTGATCAAAATAGCTAGATTGCAGGGCACCAGTGGCTCACACCTGTAATCCTAGCTACTCAGGAGGGATCTGAGGATTGCATTTTGAAGCCAGTCCCAGCAGGAAACCCCACGAGACTCTTATTTCCAATAAACTACTCAAAAAAGTTGGAAGTGGCTCTGTGGCTCAAGTAGTAGAGTGTTCCCCTTGAGCAAAAGCAGCTCAGGTACAGTGCCCAGGCACAGAGTTCTCAAGCCCCAGGACCCACCAAAAAAAAAAAAAAAAAAGCCAAAGATCATGTTTTGCCTTGCTGTCTTCTATAACCACCTTGAACTTCAATCTCTTTTGAGCAATGTACTGCCAGATGGATTTTCCTGGGTTGACCACAAGATCATATTAAGTTAAAAATCACTATTTGCCCACCTCCCATTCTGAAACTTCTTCCTGACATTAGTTTTCTTCAGTTTCAATCTACTTTCTACATACTTGACAAAGTATCTTAATGCATATTGGGTAGTCAGGTCTTCCTCTCTATCATGTAGAGTATTTCAGTGATTTTTCTACCATCTTGTGCACAAATTCCTTGATATCATATACGAAGTCCTTCAATATTTGGCCTTCTACATGATTCCTACAATGGTATAAATACAAAGTATCTGTGGCCCCTCAACTCTTCATTCTCTTATTTTCCTGTGCTGTTTCTTTTAGCTTTGTAAAATGAAACTTTTATTTTTCCCTCATTTTTATTAGGATCAATTAATTGTACAGGATATGTACAATCCACTTGCATATCGACACATGCATAAACATATGATCAGACATTCCCTTCTGTCACTTTCTGTCATCACTCTCCTAATTTTCCTGTCTTCTTTCTACATAACAAATCTATTCAACTTGTATCTGCTGGACTATTTTTTTTTGTTGACATAATTTAAATCTGGCCATCATCTCTTTGAGCATTATTCTGGTATTTTGTTAAACTTTACTTCTCTTCCATTGTGATTCTCCAGGTGCTATCGTTACTCATATAAAAATGATGACATTTTCCTTGACATGTTCATTTCTTTCCTCTTTCAGGCTTGAAGATTGTAGATAAGTCCCCATTTGAATCCCCATCACCCAGCAGTAGGTACCACAGGTAGTTAGAGGTCAACCTAAAGATAAATAAATGATAGTTGGTGTATATATGGCTGTGAAAGTTTTTCCCCCATTATGCTGTCTTTTAATTGAGTTAAATTCCGTCAAGTATTACTTTGGGGTTTTTTTGTTTTGTTTTGTTTTGATTGTGAAAATACCACACAGAGGGGTTACAGTTACATGGGCAAGGTAATGAGTACATTTTTTTTTGGGGGGGGGTCTGGTCATGGGCCTGACCTTTGGGCCTAGGTGCTGTCCCTCAGCTCATCAGCTCAAGGTTAGTGCTCTACCACTTAAGCCACAGCACCACTTCCGGCTTGTTTTTTCTGCTTATGTGGTGCTGAGGAATCGAACCCAGGGCCTCATGCATGCAAGGCAAGCGCTCTACCACTGAGCCATCTTCCCAGCCCATGAGTACATTTCTTATCAAGCATTGTTGCCTCCTCTTTTGTTTCCCCTTCCCATCCCTTCCCATTCCATCTTCCCTCCCTTTCCTCCCCACCCCCCACCACCAAGTATTACTTTGTTTTAGCATCTACAGAGCACAACTATTTCATGGTGTACACCCTGCTAACTCTAGGCTTATTGGTGAATAGAAATACACATAAGAGGCCTTCTCTGCCAGACTGTGGATATACATTCTCTGCCAGACTGTGGATATACATTGTTAGCTTTCCTAAAAGTATGGAACTGTCCTCTAAGACTAGAAAACATTTATGTCAGGCTTTAAAAGCAGTAAGTAAACTTTTTTATTTTTAAAGGAGTACTAGAAGTTACAATGACTATAATATCAATAATCCATTTAGAGACACAAGTCCATTCACTGACTTATTTTTGGTTGCAAAAGAAAGAAGAAAGAGCAATGCAGGAAGAAGTATCAATAAATGCTGTTTGGCAGGTCATGGAAGACATCTGGGAGACTAGCATTATTGTCTATCATACCATCATTTCTACCACTATTATTAGTAAATATTTATGAAGTCCCCAAAGAATGTATGGGCCTATACTTGATGACTGAGAAGTAAGGTTGAGCTATAAGCAAAAGCCAGTGTTATGTATCTTATGTAAGGTTAATTGGTGGGTTACAGCGTCAGCCACTCTAAGGACATTACTTAGAATCCATTCTAGGTTAACTGGTCAAATTCCTTAGTAATCTTATTACCAACATATGTGGCTCGACCTATCCTTCTATCAGCATACTTTCTATAACAATCAGCACTTTATTAATATGTTAAAAGACTGGAAAAAATGCACGGAGCTATATTTTAGTTCTGTTATGTCAGAACACATGCTACCATGGCTTTTTCTCAAATATTTTATGTGTTGGGTTTGTTTTTTTCTCCCTAACAATCACGAGAAGATGCTGGGCTGGATTTTGATTACTTTGGCCACCATTGCATATCTAGTCTCCCGCTGCGTGGCGAGACGCTGTTCTCCGCTCACTCCTCTGCAGCATCACTACTGGACCAACCACCTCCAAAATGAGAGAGAGCTCTTTGAACAAGCTGCAGAACAGCACTCCCGACTTGTCGTCCAGGAGCGCATAAAAAAGCTATTTGGTTTCATTCCTGGGAGTGAAGATGCCAAACACATCCGTATTCCTTCCTGTCAGGACTGGAGAGATATTGCAGTGCCGAGTCTTCTATGCATGGGCGATAACTCACAAGGCCACCACTATAGCTTCCTGGGAGACAAGGTAGTTGAAGAAAATGAGGAAGACAAACCAGAAGGAATTGAATTAGAAAACGTGTCGTGTCCAATGCAAGTTGCTTAATGTATACACGATAATGGAGTTTTCATGTAATCAATTCATCTTTTCTTTTCCCCTCTCCCTCTGATATTTGTTTCTACGAGCCCATCAAAATACTATTTCCAAATTCAATTTATCTGAAGAACTATGCCAATCTATGTTTTTGAAATTTCATTCTACCTTTGGATACCTATTGTGTCACATTGGTCTAATTAAAAACAACAGCGTTTCAATCCCTATCAAAATTTGTATCTTAGTTCTGTTATTAGCTGGATGGAGATGAACATTTCTGGGTGCCATTTTGTCATCTTTAGCTGGCCTTATGGAAAAGATGTGAAGATTAGGTGTGATATCATAAGTCAATTATTTACCACAAAGCCTTTACTATTTCTACTCCTTTTAATTTCTGCTTTTCTCTATTTCTATGTTTATATAGTAAGTCTTCACTGCCCTCTTCTCTTTTGTCAAACCTGAATATCTGACCCTTTGGGAAGAAAGGTAAAATTCTCTAACTCTTGACACATGTGCGAAAGATTTTGAGTCATCCTTGTGATGAGGGCAAACGAATACATTACTTATCGCCAGCTCCATCTAAGGAACATTTTAATTTTTTTCTTTATTGTTATTGTAAAGGTGATTACAGCAGGGTTATAGTTACATAAGTCAGATAATGAGTATATTTCTTTTTGAACAATGTCATTCCTTCCCTGGCTGTCTCCCAGTTATCCCTTCCATCCTCACCCACAACTTGTATAAATGAACAAACAAGTTAAAAGGAAAAGAAAACAAAAACAGCAACAAAGAATGTAGAAACCTCTTGTGTCCATTTCTCAGGAACATTTTTATCACTACATATAAAGTTTATTCTAGACAGCTTATCCTCTGATGGTCCAATGTATACCTTTACTCTTTCAAATCTTTGCATTCAAAGTCTATTTGGGAAATTTGGACTGACTGCTTATATTTGCCTATCTACTATTAGAACTCAAAAAGGTACAATATCATGTTGGCCTTTGTCTTGCTTTGCTAAAATGTAACCTCTGGTAGTTGACATTTTTCTGGTTTATCCTGATTACTTCTGACATGTCACTTCTGATGTAGTGTCTCCTACATGAGTTTTGCCGTGTTCAACTGGCACACTGGCCATCTGGGCTACATTGGCAATCTAGGGGTTTTATGTATTCATTTCTTTAGCCCAAACAATGATTTCTTTTTCAGCAATATACTAACTGCCAATGGTCAACTTGCAAACTTTCAAGGAGACAACTTGATAATCTAAAATGCAACTAATTTATTGGTAACTTGTATTTTACACGAGTATGGGAAATTATATTTTGTTCTAAATTCTGGGTCCTTTAACTTAATGAAAACAAATGATTTTTTTAATTGAATCCAGGGTCTCATGCATGCACTGAAAACATTCTACTTCTTGGAGATATGCCCTCAGTCCTTTAGTTTCATATTTTGTTTTTGAGATAGGATCTTAATATTTGCCTGGGGTACCTTCAAATCTACAATCCTCCTGCCTGCCTCTGACTTTCAAGTAGCTGAAATTACAGGCATATGCCACCATGCTAGAAAATATTTTTTTAATGAAATAAAATGTTTTCAAGATTTCCCCCCACCCCATAGAGACTGTTTAGTGTCAGACTTGGCTAAGGCAGGAGACATGTCCTGTCCTCACCATTACTCCTTATTTAACCTACAAATGTTTAGTTCATCTCTCTGGGCTTTAACTCTTTCGTCTGTACAATCAGCATAATGATATGCTACCTTCTGCAAAACAAATAACTAAATTCTTGAGGTCCTTTCTAAACCCCCTAGAATCTTTATTTGTATGGATAAATGTGGGTCAGTATATAAACAACCTCTGGGGTGGTAATATGCCAGTGTTCCTTTTTCTGGAAGGAAAATAGCAGGTTTGGATTGAGTTTTGTCTAATCTACTGGGATTCTACCTTTTAAAGAGTGGTGACCTTTTACAAGTAGCTAGAAAATGCTATTCTACCATATCAACTAACCACATAACTCAGTATTGACATAAGATTATAGAATGATATTGAAACAAAATGGAAGTGTGTTATGGGAGGAACTAGTGTTCTAATTCCCTCTGATACAAGAGTTAGTAAACATGGAAGTAGAGCTGTGGCTCAAGTGGTAGAGCAAAAAAGCCAAGTGAGAGTGCATGGCCTGGAGTTCCAGCCACAGTAGCAGCACACCTGCGCGCACACACGCGCACACACGCACGCGTGCACACACACACACACACACAGTCTCAGTATGTTTTGTTCTCAAAATTCTCCTGCAGTCCTAAATCCTGTGCCTCTTTTTTCATAAGAGCTTTTGACATTCCTTTGTATCAAGGTTATTAGTTAAATGAACAAGGCTCAGAATTGGTTAATTAGATTTTAGAAACCATACCACAATAAAGAATCTTCATTAACACATTTAATAGCAATATCAAAGATGTATGGCTCTAGCATGACATCACCAGAAAGATTAATAGTTGTTTATCCCTTATAATTGGACACTTTGTTTCTACCAGCATCTGTAGCCCTTTATTCTTCAAACTCTTTGTCAGTATGACATAGAAGTTTATATTTTCAGCTAGTTAATCATGATTCTTTGGCTGATTAACAAGGCTTCAAAGTACTTTTTAGCACCTATAGGAACATTTAAAAGATCATACACACACTTGGGATTTCATTGTTTTCTATATTTCCTATTTTAAATTAAATAAATTGGATTCCCTGCCTTTTTTCTCTTTTGTTCCACAGCCAATTAGATAAAAAAATTTCCAGTAAAAACATGGTATTTCCTTCCCCTTATGCTTAGTGGATTTATATAATTATGGAACCGATAATTATAGTCAATTATGTGCTAATGCTGCTTTATAGCTTGCTACCAAGAGCTTTTGGCTACCACATCAAACTCTGTGGCTTGACATATAGAGATGTGCTGACTTCCTAACTTTAATTTTGCCACTTCACTGTGATCTAAATTGCCTCCTTCCCAAGAGACAAATAAACTCTATATTTAGGTAGGTTTCACTTAGATTTCTTGATGTTTTCCAAAGCAAAATTATACAGAACTATACTTTGTCATCCTCATTGTCTCCCTTCTATGTTCTGTCTCGCTATATTTTTTAAAAAACTTGAATTCATAATTGTCATAAGAAATGAAGTGTTTCCTTGCATTTGGTTTGTACATAAAAGGAAAGCATATTAATCTTAAAACTTAGAAGTCACTTGACTACTGAATGTCAGACCAGGTAGGTTTTCGCTATCTCAAAAATATGAGACAGATATGGTTTTAATTTCTAAACAGAGTCCACTAAAATTTAGCTCTGTTCAGCAAAGAAAGTGTTTTGGCAGACTGAAAGGAGCAGATAAATGACTGGCTTTTGAAGCTGTAAGGACACAAATCCACAAATGTGATTCCTCCTGGACTGAAGAGCAATGATATAATTTCCAGAAAAGGAACTTGCATTACTCCTGAATTGAGTTATTTTTCTGTGCAAAGCATCAAGTATGACTAAGCTTCTCTAATCTCTCAGTACAACCATCCCAAGAAACAGATTTCAAATATGGTTTCCTCTGCCGCCCCTGAGTGGTCAAGGCTGGTATCTGCACCCATCTCTACTCAGTGGTGCTGACAGTAATCTATTTTCAAGCATCTGAAATGTCCAAAAATCCAAAATATTATGAATGTCAACATGATGGATTATGGTTGCTCTACCAGCAAAATAGTTTCCAAAATCTGGGGGAAAAAACCAACTCTGAACTGGGAAGCACTTTTGGTCCCTAAGCATTTTGAATAAGGAACATACTCAATTTGTAGAAACAGAAATAATTCACAACACTCATTATATGCTAGCTCCTTATAACAAAGTGGCAAGCAGTCACATTAGAAAATAACTTGCCAGGGTGACATTAAATGCTGTAGGAAATCGGAGAGAATTTTGTAAGGCTTTGTATAACAAATACTTTCTTTTTTATGTATTGTAAAAGTGATTAACAGGAAGGTTATAGTTACATAAGTAAGGTAATGAGTACATCTCTTTTTGAACTTACCCCCTCCATTTTTCTCACTTTCCCCTCCCCACTCAATACTTTCTCATTTCTAATATTATTTTATTAGGTAGCTGGTGATTCATGAATTATCACTGAAATCTAAGTCTACCTAAAATTTCCTATTTTCTTAATGGTAATTAAGAAACAGATCAGGGGTGGGAAGGTGGCTCAGTGGTAGAGCACTTGCCTTGCATGGCTGAGGCCCTTGGTTCGATTCCTCAGCACCACATAAGCAAAAAGAAAAATGCCGGAAGTGGTGCTGTGGCTCAAGTGGTAGAGCGCTAGCCTTGAGCTGAAGAGCTGAGGGACAGTGCCCAGGCCCAGAGTTTAAAAAACAAAAAAGAAAGAAAGAAAAGAAAAGAAACAAATCAAAGAATGTACAAAAGATGACAAACTTATAAGTGAGAAAGTCCAGATTTTACCCAGAGTCTGCTTTGGGGCTGGCTCTCAGCTCCACAGCACTGGCCTAGAGTTCTGTCACAGGGGTAGCTAGCTTATCAATCCAAGAGTATTATAGGTATTAGGCTAATTCTCCTCAGAACTCCTGCCAACCAACAGCTGAAACATCCTGCAGTCCAATAGTGTGTCACATCACATTTGCATCCCTCTCTTTCTACCTACACTGTACCTATGTAAATAAGGTCTCACTTCTAAGGCACTGTGCACTTTCTTACCTAGGTGACCTCTCCACTCTCACTTGGGCCAAACTTTGGACCTGAGCTACATAAAAGCCTGCAGCACTGATTCTTAGTCTCACACTAACCACACACCTGCCCTGGTGTCTCAGGCATTCTCCTTCTTATTCAGGATGGAAGCAGGACAGCACTATAATCTTCTCATTTGTTTTCTGTAGGACATAGTTATAAAGGGTTAAACCAGAGTTCAGAAAAACAATTTCCCATTACTCACATGGTCACAATCAGGGCAATCTCTTTAGAACTTTAATTTTCCCTTACATGAGATTTTGGGTTGTGATTAAATTGTGGGAGTGGTAATTACTCCTCTTTGAAGAGCCATTCCAGGTAAAGCTGTTTTAAGGAGACACAGTATAACTGCATACACACAAGCACAGACACCTGTACTGCAGAGGTTACAAGACTGTAGTAGTACCATTCCCATTCTAATCTCTGAAACTTGTGAATGTCACTTTTATAGATAAAAAAAGACTTTGTAGCTGGTCACCAGTGGCTCACACTTATAATTCTAGCTACCCAGGAGCTCAGATCTGAGGACTGTGAAACCCTTATCTCCAATTAACCACAAAGACAGAATCAGAGCAGTGGCTCAAGTGGTAGAGCATCAGCCATAGGTGAAAAAGCTAAAGGTCAGTGCCCCAGACCTGACTTCAAGCCCCAGGATAAGAGTGAGAGAGAGAAAGAGTGTGTATGTGTGTTTGTGTGTGTGAAAGACAGAGAGACAAAGACAGCGACAGACAGAGACAGAGATAGAGACAGTTTGCAGATATGATCAAGTTTTTGAGAGTAGATTATCCCAACATAATCACAGAGCTCTTTACAGAACAATCTTAGGAATAGTCAGAGAGAAGGCAGAGGGAGGGAGTGCCAAGGAGTGGCACAGTGGCACAGCTGGAGAAAGACTCCATCAACCATTGTTAGATTGTTAAGGTTGTATAGCTCATGAGTTTAGGAACATGAATGCCCATTGGGGGGAAAAGGCATGGAAATGGACCTTCCCCCAAAGCCTGAATAACAAACATAACCTTCTGACACTGAGACTTATTTCAGTACAGTGAGAACTATGCACTTTTGCTAAGGTTGTGGTACTATGACAGAGTAACTTTGTGTTGTTTTAAACCACTGAAATTTATAGTAATTTAGTGTAGTGGTGATGGGAAATTAATACACATAGCAATACATGGGGAAAGCTTACAAATCCACAAGTCTGTGGATGAATGAAAACCTCTTCAAGCATTCTAAGACTCTGTATGCACTGATGTACCATCTAGGTACAGCTGATGCTTCTAAAAAATAAGTATACACAATATTTTGCAAATAAAATTCAACGCATTCTAATACTTTAATATATTCTAAAATAAGGAAGAATACTTGAGGATAAATTTGCACTGTATTTATAGATACTTCATCTTAAGCAACAGAGAAAAATATGTAAACGTTTCTCTTTTGCAGTTGCTAGTTTGCAGTATCGAGTATACTATAAATATTTTATAATGCAGACATATTTCAGCATTTAAGGTTCAGGAGAGCAAATCCCAAACCAAGCAAATGCAAAAAAAAAGAAAAGAAAAAGCTGGATTTATGTGATGATTTATTGCTTGTATAAATTTCATGTTATGAGTAGGTTACTGTTGCTAAGTCTATGCTTGCCATTCTTTCATGTTGAGATCACTTGAATCAGAGAGCCATCTACAAAATAAGCATTTTAACCAAATAATGATTTACTAGATCCTATGAGGTCTAATAAAAAATTATTTTGTGGGGAAGATAAAGTCATGTGCCATTCTTACGAAAAATTTCTGGTTGTTACAGGCATAGTTAGAATAATAATTAGTATACAATTCAATTCAGCTCGCCATCATGGCGCCTGGTCTTTTTGGAGCATCAGCACTCTTCTGGGAGGCTACACGGTGGGGCCCTCCCGGAGGATGCCTGCAAGGCAGGGCACCGCTTGGACCTAAGGGTCGTGTTCTTGCTGCACATCTGACGACGCCCCCGTGTGGCCAGACTCAGGTGTTTCACCTGAGACGCCAAGTCCCACCTACATCTCCAGAGCCAGCTGGGAGTGTGGGTCCTCCACTCGGGCGCCTGTGGCTCACACCTGTAATCCTAGCTACTCAGGAGGCTGAGATCTGAAGATCACGGTTCAAAGCCAGCTCGGGCAGGAAAGACCGTAAGACTCTTATCTCCAATAAACCATTCAGAAAACCGGAAGTGGCGCTGTGGCTCAAGTGGTGGAGTGCTCGCCTTGAGCTGAAGAGCTGAGGGACAAGTTCCCCACCACAAGCGTCCGAGGGCTGCTTCTGGCTTTTAATGGGCCTTTCAGATTGTATTCTCTGTCTTTTCTGGCCTCTGATCAATTAGGTGATGCAGCATGCTCTAGTGCAGATCAAGGACATTCCTTGGACTGGAATGAGAGAGCCAGACTAGCACCATCCACCAGTACCTGGCCTGTCAAACCACCAAGCGGCCACAGGTGAAAGGCAGGAAGCAACCGTTCCTGCTTTCCTTCCCCTTTCCTCTCCGCCCTTCTAAGGTCGCTGTGATTACGGCCTATAGTAATTGAAAACAGGCGAGATTGGAAAAAAAAAGTGTGCTAATTTTAACTGAATGGAAAACAAGTGATCATTCACATTTCCCGGACTACTTTGGGTTGGACCTGCATTGGTGGTGAAGAAAGCGTACTTCCGTCGCTTCCTCAAAGTTTAAGAGTTCAATACTCAGTATCTGAAACATGGAGTCACCGCCAAAGTTTGCCTGGGTAAACTGGCTATATAACGTATTCCTCAGCTAAAACACTCCTCAACTTAAAAAAATAATCAAGATGCCTTTTAATACGTGTGCCTAAATGCACTTCATCAAAGTATAGTCATTTGATTAGCCTTCGCTATTATGACTGTGTGCAGTGATGAGCCGATAGTTAGCCTCAGAAGTGGCACTTCCGTTCATGACATAGCAGCGTTACCCTGTCTAGCCAAGTGTCATTGAAACCAGCATCTTTTGCCATTTACAGCCACGCACGGCGTGCACAGGTGCAGGTCTGCGCTCTGCGTCGTTTGCTTCAGGATCTCACACGACGTTTTGTGTTGTGGCTGCGGTTTCTGTGCGGTCCCGGGGTGTGCACTCGGGGCCGGGCACCGTCCTGGCCTTGGTGCTCATCAGGTCTAGCGCTCGACCGCTTGGGCCACAGCTCCACTTGGGCTTTTTTTTTGGGGGGGGGGGTAATGCAGAAGCGCATGGGCTTTCCTGCCTGGGCTGGCTTCGAACTTCCATCCTCAGATCTCAGCCTCGAGCAGCAAGGATTACAGCACGGGGCGAGCCTCCCAAACCCGTCCCACCGACGACCGTCAGGCTTCCCACTCCCCCTGAGCCCGGTCCCACCACGGGCCCACCCGCTCCCCCACCTCCGGCGGAACTCCAGGCCGCTCGGGCTTCCGGAAGCCCGACCATGCGAGGAACACACGGGGCCGCCGCCGGCCGCAAACCGGAGAAATCTGAAATTCAAGGACGTCCCGGGTCCCGCCGGCGGCGACGCCGTCCCGCCCAGCGCCCACGCTGGCGCTCGGCCCAGGCGTTTAGAGCGAGGCTGCAGCTCGGAGGGGACTTCTCTGCCTCAGGTCCCGCCAAGCCCGGCAGCTCTCCTTAGGTGTCCTTGGCGAATGCCGGAGCGAGTGGTTTCATTATCCAGCAAATCCGAAGCGAGCGTGGGACAGGCGTTGAATTGGCTTCCCCGAGGCCAGGCAGAACGAGTCGAACGCCGATCGAGGGAGCAGAACCGGGAGAACGGCGCGGGACTGTTAGCTCAGTAGGCCGGGCCTGGCTGTAGCTCCCCGGGCCTGGAGAGTCGGGCTCTGCGCCTGCGTCCACCTGGCAGCCGGCGCGGCGGCGGTCTGGGCTGCACCGCGCCGCCCAAGTGTCCGGCGATCCATGGGCCAGCAGCGAGGGCCACGATGACAGATTACGGCGAGGAGCAGCGCAACGAGCTGGAGGCCCTGGAGGCCATCTACCCCGACTCCTTCACAGGTGACGCTCGAGGCCGCGAGCCCGCAGCCGCCCTGAGGTGGGCCGAGAACGAGCCGGAGCCGCCGCGGCCCTCGGCCTCGGGGCCGGGCTGAGGGGGGAGATCGGGGCCCGCGAGGTCGCAGGACCCCCTCACCCGCCACTCGGGGTCGAACCCCGGGGCAGCTCCCCACCCCCACCCCGCCCCGCCCCGCTTATCCTGTAGCTTGAAAGTTCGGATGGCGCGGGCGGGACCTCGGAGACCCCGAATCGGGCTTGGGGGGTAATTGACAGCAGCCGTAGGTTCACTGGGATGCACGGAGAGAAAAAGAATCCTCCGAGAGAGATCGAGGCTTCTCCGGGTCGGAGGTAGCTGTTTTTCTCTCGGCGGCGTGTGAACATTGGTGGAAGTCTGAGTCAGGATAGAGAAGTAGCCTAGCCCCTGGAGCTCGTCGGCTTGCTTTCAGAACGGAAATCTCACGGCATTCTGCAGAATGTCGAGTGAATGATGCCCCCTCTACGTTTCTGTTCCGCTGTAGAACACAGGTGAGGGGATCAGACCGGAAGGGGGGGGGGTTAGACGTCCCCTAGGTTGCCATGGAGGCTCAGGAAAGGTAAGTAAGTAGCTGGCTCTGTCTGGTCTGCCGTCGAGGTACTGCAGACTGGTATTAAGTTCTGGGGGTTTGGGTCCAGTTCTAAAGCTGAGATGAGGGAGGGCAGACTGCTTGGTAGGTTAGGCTAGGGTAGCGTATCGATAGGTCCATTCGCTCCATTTTAAAGAAAGAGAATTCTTTTATATTAAAGCCGTGCTTCACCAGATTCTGAGAACGCTGCAAGATCACTGGATCGCTGATTTCTCTCAGATATGAAAAGCAGTGCAAGGAAAGCTGGTATGCGTGTGAAGCCTTTAGGTTTGCAGGACTGACATTCCTTTGCCTGTTCTTTTGACTGTTGCCCATGATTGAGTGTCAGAATTCAGAGTGTGACTCTTTAACTCATGAAGTCCAGCCCTCTCCCTTGGTTTAGTGTAGATTTTTTTCCTTGACTTCACCTTTTTTGACCACTGTTTGAAATGGTAGAAAATTTTGTTCTGCTTTGCCAACAGGCAGATGTCTCTCAGCTACCCCTGTATAGCTCCAGTCCTGTTCATGTTCTCTCACCAGCAATTCAGCTGTGCTGTGAGGATGTTAAGGGGATGAGTGAAGAGGGGTTTGAGAGTGTCATTATCTGGGTGAGTGTGTATGGAGTCTGGCTCCCTTCTCTCTCCTTGCTTATATGTCATGTCTAACTAAAATAGGATCCAAGAGTCAGTTCGTAGATATGCTCTTAATCACAATGTTTGGTTAGTTCCACTATTTGGGAAATATAATAGGTGAGAACACTGTAGATAGAGGTAACAAAACATTAGCTGTACTTACTGTTCGTTTCTTTGTACATAGGGTAGATGTACATAGGGTAAATAACTGCATATGTGCACTTACAAAGGTGACATGCATGTGTAGCCTTAAAACAACCTTGTGAGTATCTTAACTTATAGTAGGCCCTAATAGCTCTGGTACACGAAATTCTTGTCAGATGCAGAAAGTGCTGGAGGATTCTGAGCCAGGGAAATAAATGATGAATTTTCTGATTCTTTCAAATATTCTGCTATTATCAGTTGAGTTTATCTGTGATTCCTGTCAGCATCTATACAAGATTTACAATAAATAAGATCTTGATATATAGTTCTTAGGGACTTAGGGACTTGTACTTTTTACAGTAGAGGCAGAGAACCTTAAAGTGTTTTCAAGTTTGATGTTTTTGAAATTTTTGAAGTTTGTAAGATTTGCTATTTTACACCCTTCCATACATTTGAACTTCTGTGTCCAGTGAAAGAGAGCTTGCTATGTCATATCGCCAAGGAGCACTTTTCATTTTGAATCTCATTAAATATTAGGTTTAGTAAATGCTTCATCTATTGATGAAGGAAGTAGATACCTTTTTAATGTGTTACTAAGAAGCATTTGTTAAGTACACATGACCTTATATGGTTATTGAGTGGACATAATTCCAGCCCATAGACCTAGCTTAATCTCATTACTTATATTTACAAAGATCTTTTGGTCCAATGTTGCATTTGCTGTGAATTATATCATAATACAATTTCTTCTTTTTGCCTATTCTGTAGCTTGATTGCACATTGATCCAACCCTCCTAACAACTAGTCTTCCAAAATATAAATGGACTCTTCTGATACCACATTCTCCTTCAGTAGTGCTTCACATGACAAGGTCCTGCTAAGGTAGTAGAATTTGGTTATTTCCATTGCTATATCAAAATCTCTGGCTGTGGGGAGTTTTGTTGGAATAAACTAGTTGACAGTTCAATAAACTAGTTGACTTAAGTTCCCTTAATTTTGTTTACCTTACCAAGATGGGTACAATACACACTTGCTGTGTCAGTCTGCTAAGTAGCAGCCATGAGCACTTAATAGTTATAGTAGTATCTTAGAGATAGAGCAAAAATCATCTAGTAAAAACTATTTTTGTGAGACGTACTTTTTGGGGTTTTTTTTTTGTTTTTTGTTTTTTTGCTTTATGTGGTGCTGAGGAATCAAACCCAGGGCCTCATGCATGCAAGGCAAGCGCTCTACCACTGAGCCACCTTCCCAGCCCGAGACATACTTTTTGAAAGGTTAGATACTCCCTAACAACCAAAGGGACTTAGTAGGGGCTTTCTGATTCTTTGTGAAAACCTAAGGTCATTTGTGTATCCATATCCATTAGCCTGTTTTTGACAAAACCCTTAAATTCTGTCCATTTTATCATCATAAACACTACATCACCTAACTCACCCCTCCTGTTTCAGTAGGTCCCTGTTCAGTAGGTCCCTATGCCCAGCAGCCTTCTCCTTTCTGTAAAAGTAATTTCAAACACACAATGGTGGAGGTCTGGCATCCATCATTTACCAATAGCTCATACTAATACCTTAGAATGGAATTGTTAAACATTTTTATTGTAAAGGTGATATACAGAGGGGTTTCAGTTACATAAGTCAGGTATGAAGTACATTTCTTTTGGAACAGTGTCATCTCTTCCCTCAGTTTCTCAGTTTTTCTCTCTTGACCTCCTCTTCCCCTCAAGTTGTATAGTTCATTTTCAACGTAGTGTCCAGTGAGTATCACTGCTGAATTAGTTCACCCTTTGTCCCACCATTTCTGTGCTTCCCCTGCTCCTCTCTAAATAGAATGGAATTTCTTTCAGCATAACTCAGGAATCTGCCAGGCACAGTCACTCATTCTGTAATCCTTGCTATGTGGGAGACAGATCAAAGTATCAAGGTTCAAAGCCATGGGGCAACAGTTAGTGAAATCCCCTACAATCAACAAGCTGTGAGTGGTGATCTGTGTTTGTACTGCCAGATATACTGGGAGCATAGATGGGAGGAGGATTGTGGTCTGAGGCCAGCCACAGGCAAAAATAATAATAATAATAAAATAAAAACTCTACTTGGAACAATAACAAAGCATAAATGGGCTAAGGAAATGACTCAAGTGGTAGAGCCTAGCAAGTGTGAGGCACTGAGTTCAAATGCTAGAACCATGACCAAAAACAAAAAAAACTGAGTAATTAGCTGAGCATAATGGCTGTAATCTCAACATCCTAGCACTTAAGAGGCAGAGCAAAAGGACACAGTTCAAAGCCAGTTTAGGCTACATAATGAGTTTCAGGCCAGACTGGTCCACCCATGAAACCTTGTCTTATTAAAACAAAACAGAACAAAGCAAAGAACAATAAAACCCCCTATGGACTCAGATTTTTTGCAAACCCTGATGGATCTCACATCCCTATTTATTAGTTATTGTACAAGTTCAACATATTAACCCCGCTCCTACATTTTTTTTTAATTTAGCTGTGACAGAAAATCCCAAATAGCAATGGTTTTTACAGTGGCTAAAGTTTGCTTTTTCTTCATATCAAAGAATTGTGGCAGCTCCACCTCCAGACAGGAAAGAGACTTGTCCAGACTCAAAGTTGCGTGCTTACCCTCTTAGATAAGATGGCATCATCGTTCTCTATCTAACATCAGAATGGATAAAGGAATGAAGTGGGGGGTGCAGTGCTGGAGAGGAGGGAGGAAGGTAAAAACCCGAAGTTTCTCAAGGAAATTTCCCAGAAACTGCCCAAGGTCACATCTGTTCCCATCTTGTTAGCTGTAACTGCATCATTTCATTAGAAATATTGTGTCATTCTTATTCTTTGGTAAATATGCTTAGAAAAAAATGTCATAATTGGACAGAGGGAGAGTGGATATTTGAAGACTTAGCAGTATTCCCCAGTAGCCTTTTTCTTTGTTCTACCTTATTCCCATTTTTTCCTTTGTAGTGATACCTTGGTGTGGTATTTTTGCAAGCTTTTTAATTTACCTATTTAATGGGAAACAATGAACATGCTGTATAACTATCTAAGGAGTATAAAATACTCTGCCTGAAACTTACCATCTTAGTTGTTGACTCTTCTAATAATGTGCCTAAGAGTTCTTTGCCTTTATTAACTGCTAACTTTGATTTTTACCTTTGCTGCATGTGGACATGGACACCCCTTGGTGATACCATCTCTGAAAGGCCTATCCATGCAGCTCTTTTGTTGTGAGGTTCCTACAGTGTTCTAAGCTAATTATCTCCATAATCTTTTGGTTTCCTCATTTACCAGATGTTTATCTGATGCCTTGCACTTAGGCAAAGCAACAGTCTGAGTTGTTTTGGAGAACTGAAAGGTGATGATTTATATGAAGGGAAAGATTAGTATGTGCATAAGCAGGACTCTGAGACATTGTGAATAAATAGTTTGGTATTGCCAGAACATAAAACTCATGAGACCTGATAAGTCACATGGGCCAGTTCATAGGGAGCCTTGTCAGGGATTTAGACATGGTTTTACAGAACAATGCTTCTTTACGTACATGGCTACATACTATAGTGCACATTGCAGGCACTGCTCTATCAAGTGCAGATTCTGCTAGTTGAGTAGTTTCATACATAAAATAGACTTCAAGTTATATGTGCTTTCCAGAGTCTTAACTCTTGCCCCTTTTTCACAGTGATGCTAACACACTTAGGCAGGTGTAAGCAGGTAATGATGTGATGAAAATGTGCTTGCTTGGAAAACTGTTAAAGCAGTAGTGAGCATGGGGGGTGGGTAGCATGGGCTACCTCTTAAAAACTCTTCCTTTGATTTGTATAACTGTTTTCTCTTGAGTTTGTATAACTGTTTTCTCTTGAGTTTGTTACTCGTTCCTCTGCTTGTTTCTAATAAGCTTTAGTCAGTTTTTTACTTTGTTTTCCAAGTAATAGATTTTTTTTTTAACCAAGCTGGCATTCACTTTTATTTTTCCATTACCTTTTCTCCTTGATGTTCACATTTAGTCTAGTGACTTTAGCTCTCACATTGCTATAGATAATCCTAAATGAAAATAAAGCCTCGTTCTCATTATTTCCAGTTCTCATCTGATGTCTACTCAGTGCCTCATAAGTACATGTCTGGTTTTCTTTTGTATTCCTCATTTGAGTTCTCCATGCCACATCCTCAGCCTGCAAACTCTCCGTGTCATCCTTGTGGTGACTTCCTCCTGGTCTCCTGCTGTTCTCACAGCTGACAACCTCGTTTAAAACCTCATTGGTTTGACCTCATTTGTAGCAGTAATTTCCTAGTTTAATCAACTTACAGTTTTGCTTCCCTCCTTCCATCCTATACACTGTTGTTTGATTTTATAACTGTCTAGTGGTACAATTTTAACTATATTATTACTAAAATCTGTTACCATCCAGGACTTAAATTTCAACTGTATTTTCACCTCCTTCGCTGACCTATTTGTTCATCAAGCTAAAGCTATAATCAGTCCCTAAACGTCCCACTGGCTTTTCATCCATTGTGCTCTTACTGCCGTGGTATACTCACCTGTTCACCTTCTTCATTTTTACTGGCCAATATGCCACCCATGGTTTTTAGCATAATTCAAATGACATCCTGGAATTTCTCAACTGAATTTTTTTTTAAAATAAAGCACTTTATAGTTTAGTTCTACAGTTACTGGTTATAGAACCTTGAGTGATTTATGAAAAGGTCTGTGTCTTGAGTTCTAATATCTATGAACTTGGGGCTAATAATGTCATTGCTTTAAAGACCATGTATTCTTACATTTTAACAGTACTGAAATAGGAAGTTATTGATTACAGGATTGACAGCCTTTTTTTCTTAGTGGCGTATAAGTAAAAATAGTGCATACTTGATGAGGTCTTAAATTTGGTGAAATATAGCAAGAAAACCATAGTTTTAATGGTAGATTTAAAGAGATTTTATGCAAATGCACAGCACAGGATAGGCACAAAATGATGCTCAGTCAGAGTTAGCTGTTTTACTGAATATAGGTTATCCCTACATTGAGGACTTGATAGAGTCCTTGTTGCAAGGAGTAGCAAGTTGGAATGTCATGATTAAATTCTTATTTCCTTGATTGCAGTGTTTATATTTCATGGTATGTAAATAGTAAAATTAGTCATGAAGTAAAACACATATGTTTTAAAACACATATTTATTTAGAAATAGGTAAGACCAGTCATTTTGAGAGAAAGCTTATGAGTTTTCAATAACTTTTCAGGATAGGCTGAATTGCCTACGACCTAGTACAGGATGAGTACAATAAGTGTTTCGTCTGCCCTGATAACACCTTCTAATAAACCCAGATGTTCACTTTTGCTTCAAGTGCCTTAAACCTGGATTAAAATTTTAAATGAAGTTATCTGTCCCAGAAATATTGGTAATCTATATTATGGTGACTTAACCAGGTTCCTGGATACTAAAGGCAAATAGTTTCCATGGTGACTTCTTTAAGTAATCTTTGCTCTTTCATATCAGAAAGAGTCCACAGAGCTCCTGTCAACCTTAACAGGTGCCAGTACTTCCCTAGTATAGAATAAAGCATATAGGGTTTTCTCTAAGGCTTAGCAACTGTCACTACTGATAATAACTTCCCTTGTTTACTATTCACATGGTTTTGAATTCAGGTTTCCTTTGTTAACTGTTTTTTCTCCTTTTCTCCCATTAGTCTTTGTTTCATTAAGCCAATATGTATTGAGTGTCTAAAGCCTGTGAGGCACTGATCTGGAAGCTCCCATAGAAAGCATTGTATAATATCCTTGAGATACATGACATCACACTGAAATGATTAATAAAGCTTTCATATGTATGTAAAAGTTGATTTATATGTCTTGTCTTCTTTAATAAATTTAAGCTATTTACTGCTCATATTTTTTTTTTTTGGTCCAGTCATGGGGCCTGAACTCTGGGCCTGGGCTCTGTCCCTCAGCTCTTCAGCTCAAGGCTAGCGCTCTACCACTTGAGCCACAGCGCCACTTCCGGCTTTTTTCTTTCTGCTT